CACAACAACCCTTTAGACCTCCAGTCACTAACGTTGGTTCTGAGAAAATTCCCGAAGTAGACATTGACGAAATAAAGAAGGCATTGTCTCAAATGAAAACCAACAAGACACCTGGAGAGGATAGATTGACAACGGAAATGTTTAAATATGGCGGAGAACCTCTACTGAAGAGAATAAAGGGAATCTTTAATGGGTGCATTGCTGAACAAAGAATACCACAGATATGGCAAAACGCAACAATCACAATCACTATTTTCCCAAAACTTTTTACACTGGCGCCAGAAGACGTCTTTAAGACGTTGGATTGGAAAGAAAAAGGTATTAGAGTGGACGGTAAAATGCTCAACCATTTGAGCTTCGCGGATGATGTTGTTATCCTTGCCCAATCATCGGAGGAACTCCAAATAATGCTCGAACAACTCCATCACACATCTGCAAGGGTAGGCCTTGGGGAAAACGTCAAAGAGTATGTATATCTCGGTCATGCCATAAGACTCGGTGAAGATAACCAAACAACTGAAATTTCGAAAAAGATTAAACATGGGCAGCTTTTGGTAAAAACTATATATTCAAGAGCAAAATTCTCAACAACCTAAAAAAAAACTTTTTCGATAAATGCGTTTTACCGGTAATGACGTACGGCTTGGAGACTATGACGGTGACCGCACGAAGTGTCAACAGACTACGGATTACTCAGAGAGCAATGGAAAGAGCCATGATGGGCATCAGCCTTCGCGATCACATTAGGAATGAGGACATCCGTCGGCAAACGAAGGTGACTGACATCGTCGAGAAAATATCCAGTTCCAAATGGTTAACGATTCTTGAATGGGCATCAAAAAAGGCAACTTCTTTCTAATTCAACCGACCTTGTAGCTCTTACCGTTTCTCATATAGCAATAGTGGTATCACTTAAAATATACACCCTGTATAATACGCGTGAAAATACTGCAGCTGTTTCTCTTTTTTGCAAGTAAACCCCCTTCACCATTTAATTCTGTAGCTACCCAAGCAAATAACTAACATCAATAATAAACCGCTCGCATATACCATCTAACCTTTAAAAATCAACAGAGTACTTGGGCGGCCAGCTACAGCAAGAACTATTAGAAAGTGTTACCTTTGTTCTATTACAAATGTTTATTATTACTATGCAGGATTTTAATAACTTAACTTCCTTTATTTACGACTAATGTATAATGTGCGTATTATATTTGTGATTTTGGCAGTATAATGACATATGTTATTCCTCCAGGGATTAATGACGAGTAGCGGGATTAATGGTCATTATTAGGGTTGGGTAAATTTCACTTTTCACTTCATCTGGAAATTTCACTCTGAAATTTTCATGGAAATATTGAAATTTTTGAAATTTCCGTGAAATTTTCAAAATTTCTGAATTTTTCTGAAAATTTCCAAAATATCATGAAATTTTCAAAATCAAATGATTTACTATGAAAATTTCAGTGAAATTTCATAAAATTCGATGAAATTTTCAACACAATTCAATTGTGATATCACAATGTAACATAACTACGTGACTTTACATATTAGTTTTAGTATTGTGTTTATGAGGTGGTGGTAGGGTAAATACAATAATAAATAAGTACAATGGTTGGACATTCTTCAGACATTTTATTCGGGCTTCGGCTTAAGTGTCGAATGTAAAAATAGACAATAGCTATTTTCCGGGAGGAGAAATTTCCGACACGAGTGTGCGAAGAATCTGTGATGCGAAGCGCCCAAGTGCCGGAAATTTCTTCCCGCAAGCTTTAGGAACTATATTTTTTCTACAAGCGTACTAAAACTGATGTTACGAAAAATGTAATTTAAATAAAATGCGATGGTGGAGTAGGTAAATTTATAAATGTATTGAAAGGGATTATTTCAAACTCCTCCCGCACCAATACGGGAAGAAAGGCTACCCGCACAGCAAAATTGCGGAAAGAGCCATTTCCTGCACGCTCATAGAAATAACACATTCTACCTTTCTGTTATTTATTTCATATTCAGTTGAGTGGAGTAGCTACAAATATAGTTTTTTGGTTTAACTGTATTTATCATAAGTTTAGGCTTCCAACATGAAATTCATCTGCCTTGAAAATTTGTTTTGTCATTTCAACCTTAGCTAAGGATTAAGATTCAAAGATTCCAACAATCCAAAGCAAGACAACCAGCAATACATTATACAACCAGTGAGCAGCGTTGCGAGTTACGGCGTTGCTATTATTGCCAATAACTCCTGGTATTTCCCGACGAAACATGTACAATTTTTGAAAATTTCGATGAAATATATGAAATATCCAGTGAAACATATGAAATTTTTAGTGAAACATATGAAATTTTCTACAAAGTTTGGGAAATTTCAAATTGAAAATTTCACTTGTACTTTCTGTGAAATTTCACTTATCTCGAATATTGAAAATTTCACATTTGAATATTTCAAACATGAAAATTTATTTTGAAAATTTCAAACGGCACAACCCTAGTCATTATTCCACAAAAGTGTCAGTGTCAAACGTGTAGTGCTTGTGGATTTGTATTGAAAATTATGAGACGGATGAAATTTGTTCATTGAAAATCTCAAATAAATTAATTTGTCGTAAATAAAGTAGAGTATACTACTCGCAATAATGGCTATTATTCCCTCGGAATGTTACTCCCTCGCCGCTAACGCGGCTCAGTTCGTAAGAATCCTCGGGAATAATAGCTATCATTATTGACTCGTGGTATAATCTACTATTAAAGAAATTAAAAATAAATTTTTATTCTGAAATGTATATCATTTTTCTAAATACGACCCTGTCGTTTTTACCAGCTGACGGAATGAAAACGCTTACGTATGCTGGCAACCAACCTAAAGAAAAAGTTACTAGATATGTCTATGTCAACGCGAACTGTCAACTTCACTTTCTAACATCACTCTATCATGATCAATCGTGATTACGACTATACCTTCTTACTGTTCTTAGTAAAACCGTTGATTGCTAAAACGATGAAATTTCGTTTTTTTTTTTGTTGAGATTTTGTATCCTAATGGTCAATCAACATCCCCCAATCTCCATACACTAAATTATTCTCAGATTTGAAGCCGAAATCTATGAAAAAAGGCACTCAGAAAAATTGATAAATCACCCTAAATTGCTTAACACGATTTTATCTCAGGAACTATAAATGCAAATGAGCTGAAAGGGATAAAATTTAGTGAAAGTTTCAGCTTTTTATCTATAATAGAAAAAAAGTTATGATCTTTCAAAATTTTCAATAATCCAAATCATAAGGTAGGTAGGTACCTATAGTAAAGACTCAAACATGTAGGTACCATCGTCACCAAAAGCAACTGGGACAGCATCACATTAGCTCTTGTCCTATTATAGGAATTTTAATGTCAAATATTTGTCAAACTATGAATTAAATGCATTGAAATGAATGACAGTAGAATTAGTCCAGGAGATTATTATGCATTATTTGTGTCCCAGATACTTTTGGTGACGATGGTACCTATCTACTTTCCAACATTTATTTCCGATGTAACCCAATATATTGTCACAACTACCCGCTTTACGGGGGTGACATGGAGGGTTTGTAGCTTTGGGGGTTGATGGAGAGAAACTCGCTCAGGTTATATAAAAATATAGATATATATTTTCCCAAATATTACCTTACTTACCTTAGGGTGACGATAAACTAATCGACAGTCCCCCAAGCAGCATTGACGTGTGGCCCCCTATAAGGACCCCAGTGTTCGAAGGGTCATGTATCTTATAGGATTAGCGTACATGTAAGGTTATATTTGGGAAATTATATATTTTTATATAACCTGGGCGAGTTTCTCTCCATCAACCCCCAAAGCTACAAACCCCCCATGTCACCCCCGTAAAGTGGGTAGTTGTGACATATTTGGTGGAGGCGCCGTCTCGAAACCGACGCGCAAGAACCGACGCCGTAAGGCGCCTTTGAAGAAAGCCAACGCCCAAACACGTCACGACGTGGTACGTCGACAAGCGATAACGACGAAAGCTCTCAGGGAAATTCACGATAGCGTTGCGAAAGCAGACAAGTAAAAAATGAAATGTGAGATATTTGGTCGAAGCGAAATTCACGACACGGTGGCGAAGGCGATATAGATGTCAGATAGGCGTGCATATAATTTGAGGCCAAAGAACGCAGCAGCTGCAACACCAACAGAATCATTCAGACCGTCTCATAGGAGTACAGGATTTGAATACTCGTTTTCTCAGTCAAAAAGGCCACTTCAAAGATCCCCACCAGGGTCAATCAGTATCAGTTTAGAACGTTTACGTTTACGCCCCTCTGGGTATCTTCAGCCTTATCGTTGTCCAGTGCAATTACCTCTTGTTGGGAACGCCCCTCTGGACAAGGCATAAGGGTGACGATAAACTAATCGACAGTCCCCCAAGCAGCATTGACGTGTGGCCCCCTATAAGGACCCCAGTGTTCGAAGGGTCATGTATCTTATAGGATTAGCGTACATGTAAGGTTATATTTGGGAAAATATATATCTATATTTTTATATAACCTGAGCGAGTTTCTCTCCATCAACCCCCAAAGCTACAAACCCCCCATGTCACCCCCGTAAAGCGGGTAGTTGTGACAATATTCTCAAAGGAAATCCAATAGAAAATGATTGTCTTTTACTCAGAGAAACACACCAATCATGGAGTTGATAATTAGGTATTTCATTCCAAATTTTGGACGGACTGAAAATAAATTCCTGCTTATTCTCAAGAATCAATACTAGAACAAATCACTACTGAAGAAGTTCCAGACAAAATGTAAAATGGACTAAATACGTACATATATTGACTTAGTGAAAATTCCAAAAAAAAGGCCATTATTCATATTGAATCCAAGAAATTTACCCAAAACCATAAAAATTAGCCATTAGTTAGAAACCCAAAATCTAAATCAAGTCAACTTTGAAGAAATCTACAAGCTAAGAGATTATGGCAAACCAACTAAATATCAAATATGATTACCTTTGTTCAACAATCCCCCTTCGTGGTCTACTTAAATTAATTCGAGGCAAACAAATCTTGCTGGGTGATTTTTCATTGGTTTTTATTGTTTCTGGACGGTTGTTTGTAACAATCAAAGGCAACCCACAAGTTTTTCTGTTTCTCAGAAGTTTTTCCTCAAACTTTTTGACGCATTTTTTATCAAGTTCCAGCAGTTTTTCGCATTCCGCCACTGTCATGGCCAAAAGAACTTTATTATTACGATTGTTGTTTAGTAGTTGTTTGCCTTGTACAAGTTTTTCTAGTACAGTACAAGTTCGAGGGGTCATATTGGTTGTTGCACTTGATTTTTCTTCACTATTACACATTTTGATTTTCTTTTTTGGTACAGAGTAGTTTTCTTCGTTACCTTTTTTGGTACCTTTAATGAATTTTTCAGCTGCAATTCTCAATATTTCCAATCGTTCTTTGTTTCTTACATTATTCCAATCGATTTTAAATGCAAAAGAATTATTTGGCTTTAAAGTAAATGTAGAATAATGATGTATTGGAGTGGATTTTCTTAGATTTACATGAGATTTGCTTTGAGAATCATAAGAGAATTTGCTTTTGAAAAATATCGGTACCACACTATTTGAATCTTTTGATTTCAGAGAAAGGGTTTCGTTACTGCTGTCTCTGGTCAAATCCAAATGGGTTTTTGATAAATAGAAGAGTTTTGGGGTTTTGTTTGAGGCTTCAATAGAGTTTTTAGAGGGTTCTATAAGATTTGAGCCTAATTGTTCAATTTCTAACAGATATTTGCTTAAATTTTCTTGGATTTCTTTGGCTTGTCTTTGCTCATCATTGCTGTCTTTTTTTTCTAGTGTTTTATTATTTATTTCTGTAGAGTTTTTACAATTTGAACTGTTTATATTTTCTTCAGAATCTTCATCAATTTCTTTAAACTTTGTCTCTATGGTTGGCAAAATATTCCAATTAATTACTGTTTCTTCTTGGGTTTTATTTTCTTCTTTTTGTTTAAAATTTTCATTTATTTCTGTCTTATTGCAAATCTCTGCATTATTTGTTTCTGCAAAGTCTGTAGATTCCTTTATTTCTTTCAATTTTTTATCTTCTTTGTCGATTTGTAAATCTCTTTCTTCAGTGTGTTTTGAATTTTGATTATTCCTGTTCTTGTTACCTTCCTTTTTGTCTATTATTATAGCACATTGTTCTAAATTCATATTTGTAATGCATTTATCCTTGTTATCAGACCCAGACAGCACACAAAGTCTTAGAAACGTCTCGTTGAAGACGCCTTTAAAATGTCTTCAAGCAGACGTCTGAAAGACGTTGGGTTTTGTAACATACGACGTTTTTAAGATGTATTTAAGACACCTTAAAGACGTAAGCAAGACATCTTAAATGTCGTTTGCGTGGACATGGACATGTTAAGGACATCTTCAACCTACTTTATCTGTGTCCTTTTATTATTCATCATTATTCCAGGCTTTCGATTGGTCAGACAGAGCCTACTCGAGCGCCAAGAATAACAAAGTAATAGACAATAATATAAGAAATTCAATGAGTAAGAAAGGGACACAAATAATGAGAGATGTCACCAATCAAATCTGACCTCTTCATACAAGCTATGATCACCAAATAAAGGTTGCATTCTATTTAAGACAACAACAAGACTACATATAGTGCCAAACTGGGAAATCTGGCAACATTGCCGATAGCACTGTTCAATCTCGCATGTCCAGAAACTCTTAGATCTGAATTGTGTATGAACGCGGCTTAAGCAGTTATGAAGATATAGGTATTTTATGTTATATTTAGGATAACGTCATCGAACAAGGGCAGACATTGTCAATGCATGCCTCTTTTCTCTCTTATAACTTACCAGAATGTTATGTGTCAATAATTCTGACGACAGCTAAAAATAATGAAATCAAAATGTTTATACAAGTCATGCAACGTCGCGCGCTGTTGCCAACCAAAAACATATGAAATTCCCCTATTTTAAATGTGTTAAAATGTACTTTTAGTTTTGTTAGGTTGGCAGCAGAAATTTACTAAATGTGACATCATCCTACATATAGCGTAAAAATCCTATATTTATGCGTTGCAGTACTTTCTACTAATCCCGTATGTCGTGAACTATTTGTCAGTGTCATATTTTATTGACAGCTGTAAACGTCAAAAAAAAATTTCAAAAAAATACTTCAACAATTCGGGCAAGTTTTTAAAATCATCAATGACATATGCGCATTTTCACCGATGTACTTAATGCTGTCCTTGTCATTTGACAGCAGTAAAACAAAGATGAAAAACATCATCAAGAGAAATGCGCATAAGCAAATGGTGAATTCAAAAACTTGGCCTGCCATCATCAATTTTGACAGTTGTCAACGTCAAAAATATGACAAGCAGATATGACCTTATTGTCAACGAAGTGTCGAGCGACAAAAATTATACCTACTCGATCGGGTCATCAAAATTTGACATATGTTACAAAAATCACGTTTTTTTTGAAAAACGAAAATTAGAAAAAAAACCTTTTTAAAGTTGACAGCTGTCAAAAAATACTAAAAAATTTTAGTTCGAATTTTCATTATTCGCGGCGCTTGAATGGGCTTCTAATTTCTGAGTTCGGCCAATTAAGAGCCTGGCATAATAAAATGATAAAGAACGATATTATAAATTCAATGAGTAAAAAAGACATATATCTCAAAAAATGACAGCCTGACAAAGTCAAACTTCTTTTTTAACATACCTCTGTCAAATTTGAAAGACGCATTCGGATAGAATTTTTGACGTCCCACATTTTGGTGATATTGACAGATGTCACCTGTCAAATCTGACACATGCTTGCCTCTCTCTCCGTTTTACCATACAAGCTACGATCACCAAACTTGGTACATGACAGATATGTATATTATGTCGTGAACTATCTGTCAGTGTCAAATTTTTTTGACAGCTGTCATTATCAAAAAAGTTTTTCAAAAAAATACTATAACAACTCCATCATTAATTTTGACAGCTTTCAACGTCAAAAATATAACAAGCGGATATGGTGACATCTGTTTTTGTCAACAAAGTGTCGAGCGACAAAAATTATACCTACTCGATCGGGTCATCAAAATTTGACATATGTGTACAAAAATCACGTTTTTCGCCGTTAAACCGTCAATTTTTGACACAAATCGGTGGGATTTTTTTTATAGGGTTTTTAGGGTTCGGGGATCGTTATCCGGCTTTTTTTTTTTTGAAAACGGAAAATTGAAGAAAAAAAACTTTTTTGACGTTGACAGCTGTCAAAAGGTATTGAATAATGATGTGAGAAATTCAATCAGGAAGAAAAAGACACAGATAAGGTAGGATGAGAAAAATTCTGACTCGAATTTTCATTATTCTCGGCGCTTGAGTGGGCTTCTAATTTCTGAGTTTGGCCTCAGATCAAGAGCCTGGAATAATAAAATGATGAAGAACGATATTATAAATTCAATGAGTGAAAAAAAGACATGTGTCAAAAAATAACAGCCTAATAAAGTCAAACGTCTTTTTTGACATATGTTAACTTTGAAAGACGCATTCGGATAGAATTCTTGACGCCTGACATTGTGGTGATTTGGACAGATGTAACCTGTCAAATCTGACACATGTTTGCCTCTCTCCCCGCTTTAACATACCAAGCTACGATCACCAAACTTGGTACATGACGGATATGTATATTATGTCGTGAACTATCTGTCAATGTTAATAATTTTTCACAGCTATCAACGTCAAAAAAGTTTTTCAAAAAAAAACTATGTTGGCAACACAAGCCTTCTCTACATGAAAAATTTGATACCATTGACAATTTTACATTGTATTGCCAACCTAATGTCAGTTTGACTTTTATCTTTAAAAAAAAACGCACTTTATTCGATCGGGTCATCAAAATTTGACATAATGTCACAAAAATCACGTTTTAAACCGTCAATTTTTGACACATTATATCGATAGGATTTTTTTATAGGGTTTTTGGGGTCCGGGGATCATTATCCGCCTTCTTTTTTGTGAAAAACAGAAAATTGAAAAAACAATTTTTTGACGTTGACAGCTGTCAAAAGGTATTAAATAATGATGTGAGAAATTCAATCAGGAAGAAAAAGACACAGATAAGGTAGGATGAAAAAAATTCTGACTCGAATTTTCATTATTCTCGGCGCTTGCGTGGGCTTCTAATTTCTGGCCTCAGATCAAGAGCCTGAAATAATAAAATGATGAAGAACGATATTATAAATTTAATGAGTAAAAGAGAGACACAATAAATAAACTGGATTTTTTCTACAATGTTTGTGTCATTTTCTTACTCATTGAATTTATTAAATTGTTGTTTTTTGTGAATCACAATCGTACTTTATCTGTGTCCTTTTCTTACTCATGCAGTCGTTTGGATAAAGTATAGCAAATGCTTTCACTCTATCTCCGTCTCTTTTTGCTGCATTAAAACTGAATTTGTTTATCTCAAAAATCTTAAGCAAAAGCATATGCTCGTGTTTTATGCATATGATCCATTGAATTTCTTACATGATTGCTTGTTATTTTATTATTCCAGGTTTTCGATTGGTCAGACAGAGCCGGGAATAACAGAGTGACAGTATAGGAAATTCAATGACTAAGAGAGAGACACAAATAAATGAGAATGAAATAATTTGTGCGTATTCCCGGCTCTTGAGTAAACTTGTGATTTTTGTGTCTACCAATCAAGAGCCTGGAATAATAAAAATATTAAATAATCATTAAGTAAGAAAGAGACACTAATAAAGTAGGATGAAAAAAATTGTGATTCGAATTTTCATTATTTTCAGCGCTTGAGTGGGCTTCTAATTTCTGAGTTTGACCAATCAAGAGCCTGGAATAATAAAATAATAAAGAGCGACAAGTAATAGAAATTCAATAGGTGAAAGAGAGACACAAGTAAAGTAGTAGCATTAAAAATTGTGTCTCAATATTTTTTTTTCATGTTTATGTCATGTTCTTACTCATATTGTTGTTTTTTGTGAATCACAATCCTACTTTATCTGTGTCCTTTTCTTACTCATTGAATTTCTCATATGATTGTTTGTTTGTTATTTTATTATTCCAGGTTTTCGATTGGTCAGACAGAGCTTACTCGAGCGCAGGGAATAACAGAGGGACAATATAGGAAATTCAATAAGCAAGAGAGAGACACAAATGACTTTGACTTTGAAATAAATGAGAATAAAATAATTTGTGCGTATTCCCGGCTCTTGAGTAAACTTGTGATTTTTATGTCTTACCAATCAAGAGCCTGGGATAATAAAAATATTAAATAATCATTAAGTAAGAAAGAGACACTAATAAAGTAGGATGAAAAAATTGTGACTCGAATTTTCATTATTCTCGGCGCTTGAGTGGGCCTCTGATTTCTGAGTTTGTCCAATCAAGAGCCTGGAATAATAAAATAATAAAGAGCGGTAAGTAATAGAAATTCAATAGGTGAAAGAGAGACACAAGTAAAGTAGTAGCATCAAAAATTGTGTTCCAATATTTTTTTTCTACTCTGTGTCATGTTCTTACTCATAGAATTTATTTTTTGTGAATCACAATCCCACTTTATCTGTGTCCTTTTCTAACTCATTGAATTTCTCACATGATTGTTTGTTATTTTATTATTCTAGGATTTCTATTGGTCAAACAGAAGCCTACTTGAGCGCCAGGAATAATAGAGTAATAATTGAAATTCAATGAATCAGAGAAGGACACAAATAAAGTGAGACAAAATAATTTCCGGCTCTTGAGTAAACCTGTGATTTTTGTGTCTTGCCAATCAAGAGCCTGACTGAAATAATGAAAATATTAATAATGATGTGAGAAATTCAATCAGTAAGAAAGAGACACAGATAAAGTAGGATGAAGAAAATTGTGACTTAAATTTCCATTATTCTCAGTGCCTGAGTGAGCTTCTTATTTCTGCGTTTGGCCCAAGGTTGTTTGAGAGCTGATAACTTTATGACGTCATCTGGGGTGCTTCAGCATAATGCAAATCTTCATAAGGCATCCCAGATACGTCATCAAGTTACTCATTACCAGGCAACCTATTAACTTTAGGAACCTTGAGTTTGGCCAATCAAGAGCCTGGAATAATAAAATGATTAGGATTGATATATTACATAAATTCAATGAGTGAAAGAGAGACAAGTAAAGTAGTACGATAAAAAAATGTTTGTGTCCTTTTCTTTTACTCATTGAATTTCTCACATCATTGTTATTTTTCAGGCTTTCGATTGGACAGACAGAGCCTACTCGAGCGCAAGGAATAATAGAGTAACAGAGAGGGCCGTAGCCAGGGAGGGGCATTGAAGGGCAATGCCCTATCTTTCAAATGATGATGCCCTACCTTTAAAACACGCGTTGAGGTTTATCTAGAAAATTTAAGAGAAGATGAAAGCACTGTTTCAACCGACATAAGAACCGTTCTAAAACGGTAATTTTCAGTCGATCAATTCATTTGCCAAGGAGGATAAACGTTCAACTTATTGAAAATAAAGTGGGCAATTGGAAATTACTAGTTCTGGAACGGTTCCTATGTCCATTGGACCACAACTAATGAATGGACTTGAAATCGAATAAGTTGGTAGGCATATAGTTATTTTACAAGTAGTACAAGTACAAGAGGTCCTTCAAAAATTATTGCCTGAACGCGCCATTTTGTTTATTCGCCAGAAATGTTATTTGATGTTGTTTATTGAAAAATTTGCCTTCGGCGCCAATACCCCCATTCTGTTTACCTATAAAAAATTTGAGGGGCGGAGGGAAGTAGTGCATGCCCTATGTCAAATTTTTCATGCCCTACCACAAATTTGACTCTAGCTACGGCCCTGATAACAGACAATAATATAATACATTCAATGAGTAAGAGAGGGACACAAATAAAGTAGGACCAAATAAATTGTGCGTATTCCCGGCTCTTGAGTAAACTTGTGATTTTTGTGTCTTGCCAATCAAGAGCCTGGATTAATAAAAATATTAAATAAAGATGTAAGAAAGAGACCGAGATAAAGTAGGAAGTCTTTAATGTCATAAAGAACGTTTTTAAGATGTCTGTGTGCTGTCTGGGTATTCTTTATCAGTTTCTTCTTCAATTTGTACCAATATTTATGTTAAAATCTTCTACACAGTTATCCATCTTAAACAATTTCAGATCCTCTTTATGTTGTCTAAAACTGATTTCATCATTATCAAATATTTCCGAATTCACTTTGAACTTTCCATTAAATTCAGTCTTGAACGAACCAGTTTCATAATTTTCATCTACTCTATTATTATGATTATCAAATTGTCGCCCTTTAGTGAACAAAATATCATTGGAAGACAAAATTTTCTCGGGCGCCTTTTGCCCTTTGAGTAGCTCTTGACTTTTCGTTTGCAAATTGACATTAAACTTGTTGGGCAACAATTTTTGCTTGGTTTCTTTTTTAACGATTTCCTTCCAAGTGACCATTGATTTATTGATAGCCGACACGGTTAATCCTTGATCATTTACTGCGATCGAATTTAGCTTTTTTGCGACAATGGGATTTCGTTTGTTGGTCGGTAAACTAGAGGGAAGAAAGGAAAAGGGATTTTTAGGGATTTTTTGTTTGTAAGGAGAAGGAACAAGTGTTAACAAATCCCTTTTCCATTCTCCCTACAAAAACTTACCTTTTGGAAGATTCAACTTTAGACGAGACATTTCGATCACCGCTACATTTGTCAATAGGCGATTTATTGTTGTTGTTGATTCCTGGTTTAACTGAAATCCAAAAGTTGAAAAAATGTTTATAATTTATAGATATCCAACTTACCAACATTAACAAGACTTTTTGGTTTCCTAATACTAGGCGCTCGAGACAATAAATTAGTTGTCGAGTTGGTAGTTTTCACTGGCAAAGGTTCAGGACTTTGGGAGTTGGAGTACTTTTCCCGTACAGTAATTCTTTTTGATTTGTTCAACGGTGGTACCCTGTAATTGACTCTAGCTTCAAGTCGTTCCCTAGCTAATTGTGCACTAGCAGTTAGATGGTCTTGGATTCTTAATTTTCTTTCTTTGCACCATTCCACGTGCCGGTCGTAGGCTTTGGGACCAAAAAACCGATCGCAAGTTTGACATTTTTCGTTGTTTTGCGTAGTACTACCGCGAGATTTCATTGTCGGCGAAGCTGGTACTTTCGCTGGTACTCCTTTAGCTGCTCGTATAGCAGTAACAAGCTCCAAATGTTTTTCCTTCCACTTGTTTTGTTTGCCTTTGGTTTCTATAATTGGAGGTTCCTCTTTTTTCTTTAGGTAAGTGGTCTGATGGAAATCGGCCAAGTCGGTACCGGCGACTCGTTGTTTTAAGGAGTTGAAAGGTTTTCGTTTTTTTGCGGCGTTTCGTTCGCAGACTTTTTCGTGCTTTGCCAGGGGGACTGGGAGGAAGGTTCTGCCGCACACATGGCAAGGTACCAGGTTGCCTTCTTGGATTATGAGTTCTGGAAAATGGAAATTGATTATTGGTACTATGGAATGTCTTTTTGAATATAATCAAAACTGAAAAAATTACTCTTTAATAGTGCTTTTTATACAGTTTCTGAGTTTGAATAAGTATCTTTGTGTTGTATATTGGTCTTTGAGACATTCAGGATTTATTAATTAGAGATTTTTCATGATACAAAACAAGTTGAAAGTTGCAGTGGCGTATCTAACTGTGTGCCGGGCCCGAGAGGGGCTCGTGAGCTCCATAGTGAAACAACAACAAAAAAACGTAAAAAAATCGAGATTACACCAAGAAAAAAAAAGTAGCTACAGAAACTTCAACATACTGAAACAGGAGATCCTTCCAAGATCCAAAATAGGAATTCTAGGCTTCAAACATTTTTCGCATTTAAAAAATTTTCGGATGGAAAATGTGCCCCTGATGTAATTTTGACGCGTTGCTATGACAAAAGTGACAGAATCTCAGACAGAAGTGTCGTAACAATATGGCGGAAGTGGGATACGCTTTTTTCTCCTTATGTCGCCTCCTTATTATTCTACCTCAATGATTTTTCCTTAATTTTGCCTAAATAAGTCAATTTTCTTTGAATTTTTCCTGGAGTGATTTTTCACTGGAAAATTTCGAAATTTCCCTATAATGAGCTCCTCACTTTTCTCTTTATCCTGGAAAATTTTCAAAATTTTCCCTTTAGCAGTTTTCCAAAAAAAAATTTAAATATGAAAGGATGAATTAGAAAAGTCAATTTCCAGAACTTTCCTATCGAGTTTCCTTAGAGAGATTTTACACTAGAAAATTTTGAAAATTTCCTATAATGAACTCCTCATTTTCTTCTTTCTTCTGGAAAAATTTCACAAGTTTTGCTTTATTAGTTTTCCAGAAATAAATTAAAATGTGCGAGGATGAGTTTTTCTTAATTTTACTTGAAAAAATCATTTTTTCAGAATTTTTCCTGGAGCGATTTTTCATTGGAAAATTTTGAAATTTTCTCATAATGAGCTCCTGACTTTCCTCTTTTTCCTCTTTTACCAATTTTCTAGGAAACAATTGAAATGTGAGAGGATGAATTTTCCTTAATTTTACTTGAAAAAGTCATTTTCCAGAATTTTCCCTAAAGTGATTTCTCACTGAAAAATTTCGAAATTTTCCTATAATGAGCTTCTCATTTCCTCTTTTTCTTCGAAAATTCTCAAAATTTTCCCTCTGCCAGTTTTCCAGAAAAAAATTAAAATGTAAGAAGTGAATTTTCCTTAATTTTGCTTAAATAAGTCAATTTTCCATAATTTTTTATGGAGTGATTTTTCATTTGAAAATTTTAAAATTTTTGCAATAATTTCTGTAATTTTCATAGTTTTCCGTAATGACCATAATTCTCGTAATTTTTCGTTATTCACTTAATTTTTCATAATTTCCATTTTTCGTAGATTCTGTAATTTTTTGTATTATTGGGAAAATTTCCGTAATTTACAAATAATTCCTGCAATTTTGAATAACTTTGAGTAATTTCTGCATTTTTGGATAATTCCTGTAATTCCTTTATTTTTTTGTAATTTCAGAATATTTTTTGAAATTTTGAATTATGTATTATAATTCCTATAGTTTTGAATTGATAATTTGAAAAGTATAAGAATTGCAAAAATTTCGGAAAATTTTACGATAATTACAAAAACTGAAATTAGCAGAAATTACAAAAATTTCAAAACTACAAAAAGTTACTAGATTTTTAAAAAATTATGAGAATTATAAAAATTAAAAGAATTGAAAAATTACGAAAATAATTTATTAAAGAATTACAAAAATTGAAAAATATTAGAAACTACGAAAAAATCGAAAAATTACCGAATTTGCGAAGATTCCTCAAAAAATTACGGAAATCACAAAAATTAGGAAAATTATAAAAATTCCATTAAAAAATTACGGAAAATACAGAAATACGGAAAATATAGAATTAATAAAAATAAATTAAAAAATTATAGAAATTTCAAAAATTACAGAGATCGCGAAAAAATGAAAAAAATCGAAAAAATTGCAAAATCATGGGAATTTTGAAAAATCACGGGAAATATATTAATTATTAAAAAACTAAGAGGAAAATTAAAAAATTACAAAAAAATCGGGTATTACAAAAGCAATGAAAATAAAAAAAATTGAAAAATACTGGAAATTCAAAAATTATGCAAAATTACAAAAATAATTGAAAAATTACATAAAATATGGAAACTACAAAAAAAAACTTATGTAATGTAAATTATTTTAAAAAATTACGGGAATTTCAAAAACTACGTGAAATTGCAAAAATCATTAGCAAATTACGGAAATTACGAAAAAATTACAAAAATCACGAGGATTACAAAAATCACGGGAATTTCAAAAATTATGTAGAACTGCGAAAATCATGGGTAAATTGCGAAAATTAAATTTGAAAAAAATTAGGAGAATTATAAAATTACGAAAAAAATCACGGGAACTTCAAAAATTATTAAAATTTTGAAAACATTGGAAAATAACGTATAACGGAAAAGTAACAAAAATTACGAGAATTGCAAAAATTACCGAAAATTTTAAAAGTTACGGAAACCACCATTATGAAAAACTAAAAAGCAGAATTATAAAATTTGAGTATTACAAAAGCAATGGAAATTATTGGCAATTTCAAATATTACGTAGAACTACAAAAGTCAATGATAAATTACGTAAATTACAGGAATTATAAAAATGAAAAATAACGAATATTACAAAAAATCACGGAAATTTCAAAAAAAAATACGGGAAGTAAAATTATTGAAAAATTAGGAGAATTATAAAATTACGAAAAAAAATCATGGAAATTTCAAAAATTATGTAAAATTACGAAAAGTATTGGAAAATTACGTGATATGGAAAAATATTGACAAAAATTTCAAAAAATCATGGAAATTACATTAATTATTAAAAAAATTGAGAGAAGAATTATAAAATTAGAAAAAAATCGAGTATTACGGAAAACTATTGAAAAAAATTACGCGAATTTCGAAAATTACATAAAATTGCAAAAAATTATTGGAAATTACGTTTTACGAAAAAATAATAAAAATCACGAGAATTTCAAAAATAACGGAAATTTCAAAAACTTACGGGAATTATCATTATTGAAAAATAAAATAAAGAAATTACGGGAATTAAAAAAATAACAGAAATCACGAAAATCATAAAAAATTACGGAAATTAGGAAATCATAAAAAAAATTAGGACAATTATTATAATTATAGGAATTGCAATAATTACGGAAATTACGAAAAATTGAAGAAAAAAAATATCGGAAATAACACAAAAATTAGGGAATTTGTTAATTAACGAAAATTACGGGAATTGCAAAAATTGCAGAAATTACGAAAAATTTCGGGACTACGGAAAATAATTAAATTTTTAAAAAATTATGGAAATTAGAAAAGTTACAAAAATTCTGGAAATAAATCACGAAAATTTATTAACAAATTGCAAAAATCGAAAAAACCTATGATGATTTTCAAAAAGTTAGAACATAACAAGAATTACAAGAATCAGGAATTACAATTACAAAAATTATAAAGACCGGGAAATTATAAAATTTCAAAAAACGTCCAAGAAATTTAAAAAATTACGACAATTGAAAATTACGAAAACTATCAAAGTTACAATAATTATAAGAAATTACGGGGATTACGAAAAAGTTACGGGAATTACGAGAATTAGAAATGACAAAGGCTTTCGGGAAATGATTTTGAAAAATGCCCAGAAAAAATACGGAAATTACGGGAATTACCTACTAATTTTTGAATTATACAAAAACGTGGAATTATAAAAATAACGGAATTTTCTGAGAAACTAAGGGAATTAAAAAATTAGGAAAATTTGAAGAACAACAGGAATTAATAAAAAAATTATAAGAATTATTTGAGAAATTACAGGAATTAAAAAATTTCTAAACAAAAATTACGGAAATTATGAGTCTTCGAAAATTACAAAATTTGCTATAATGAGCTCTTTATTATTATATATATTATTAAAAGGCTTACAATGACTTACGCAACAAAACCATGGAAAAAGATAATACCATTGAAGACCTTCAAGGAAAATATGAGGTTTTGAACGAAGATCACAGAATACTCAAAAGTGATATAGAAGATAGAGACAACTTTATTGCTAGACTGAAAAGAGGATCAAGAAGTTTTGAAGATGAGGCGTGTGATAGGGAAGAACAGTTGAAGAAAAATATAGAATCTCATGTGAAATTGATAGAGAAATTGAATCAAGAGATAAAACAACTGAAAGAAGAACAGAACGTGAAGCAAACAGAAATCAGTGACACAGAAGTTAAATACGAAATACAAAGACAAAATTTAGAAGAACTGAAAAGCAAAAACCACAAAATGGCTACGAGTATAACGAATCTGCAATCTGAAATAGCAAAACTTGTTTCTGAATCAAGAAGTGGCAAAATGGAAATCGCTGAATTGAATGAAGCACTACAAAGCTATAAAAATGAGCATAAAGCTATAAAAGAAGAAAACCTCTTGCTATTAGAAAAGATGAAAGCACAGAGTACGACCTATAACCTTCTAGAAGATATGATGGATAGCGCAGATCAAACTGAAAAAGATCGAACTATAAATAATAAAGAAGAAATCATAGCTAAAATGAAAGAGGAGGTAAAAGAACTCAAAGAAATTAATAAAAGTATGACAGTTTCCATAAGTGTGTTGGAAGAGGAGAACAAAAGGCTAGAGAAAGAGTTGAAGGAATTACAAATGGAGTTTGACCAGATTTTAGCAGAACATATTTCATCAGAAAAATCACTGGTTGTAAATGATACAGAATCGAAAACTAAAAAAACTACAAAAGTAATCACTAAAAATACGCACAACAAACTAAACGTTAACTCTACCAAAAAACAAGCAAACATCACCAATATTCATGACGCAAACATCATTACTAATATGAATGATGCTTATCCCAATGATTCTATCGAAGTTATTGGGTCAACTATAAACTGTAACTTAATCACTAGTTCTCAAAAAAAAACATAAGATATTGTTTTTAACAGACCAGTATGGAAAATATTTGTTACCCTATCTTGAAAGTCACCTTTCTGATAAATTTGACGTACAGATTGTGACCAAACCTAATGCTTTATTCGTTGATGTGATAGGGGGGCATGAAGAATCAATTTCCAAAATGTCGAGCTCGGACTATGTTATAGTAATGGCGGGGCTAAATAACAATAACGTGAAACTGAGTGATATCACCCTAATTGCCAATACTTGCTTCTACACCAACCTAATTTTTTGTACCATACCTGCAAAATGTACTGATGGTTTGCCATATTGTCATGTCGACTATATAAATGGTAAGATAGTAAATGCCGTTTAAAACCTAAGAAAATTTGTTAGCAATATCAATTGTCTTGACCTATCCAACAGATTTCGATACTCTGACTACTCAAAGAATGGCATTTATCTCAATAATAAAGGTCTTACTAAATTGGCTCGCTCGTGAAAAGTATAATCTGTGCCTTTGGTATGTTACCTTCGCAATCTTTCTTAAAGCCAATCAGTTTGGGCAATTATGATAACTATTCTAAAGATAACACCAGTCAGGTTGATGTCGGGTGCACAAATAAACTAATCCAACAAAATTTTTCCCAAGTTCTGGAACCTGCAAACCATCCGTAGTTAATGACAGTACTGATGCAGTTTCACTATTTTATCAAAACTGTCGTGGAGTGAAAACCAAAGTTGATATCTTAAGGACTAATCTTTTGGATAGCTGTTATGACGTAGTTGCATTGACGGAAACTTGGCTAAACGATAAAATATTTACATCAGAATTTTGTCCAAAAAACTTAATATCATTTAGAAAAGACAGAAATAGTGTGATAACTTTGGAAAAACAGGGTGGAGGTGTATTTTTGGCTGTAAAAGATAGGTTTAAGGTAGCAGAATTTAATATTTTTGATGAAGAGCAAGAGGCGATTTGTATACAACTTAGTTTAGCCAATAATAGGTATTTATATTTAGTTTTAGTTTATATCGTACCTGACAGTCCACTAGACGTGTATGAAATTTTTTTTGAAAGATTGGAATTGGGTTTATTGGGCAGGGCAGATACGGATTTTATTATACTGGGTGATTTCAACGTACCAGGGTTTAACAATGACACCTCGACCAACAATATTGTAAATAATCTAAAGGCATTTCAAGCTTTCAACAATCTTTCTCAATTCAACAGCATACAAAACAACAATGGTGTACTACTGGATCTCGTTTTTGGATCATTTGATTGCTTGGTGGTAGAACAAGCTGAAGAACCGCTGGTAGCAATTGATAGTCACCATCCGTGTTTGGATATTAGACTGTCAATTAAGACTTCTCAAGGCTGTAGACTGGTCCCTACTACCAAATTCAATTTCAAGAAAGCCAATTATCTTCTTATGTATGAGCTGTTTCAGGAACAAGACTGGGATGATTTATGCGATTTCACAAATGCTAATCTGGCAATTGATGCTTTTTATAAAATAATACACAACATATTTGAGAAATGCGTACCAAAGTCTACACAAAAAAGTAAGAAGTATCCAACTTGGTTCAACAATGAAATAATAAAACTTTTAAAGCAAAAACACACATGCTTTTTGAAATCTCGTAAATACAAGTCTCAGTTTTGGAAAACTAGATATAACGGTTTGAGAACCTTAATCAGGAATAAAATCAAAACAGCCCATGCTGAATACTTGGTGGATGTTGAATCAAGCTTGAAATCTAACCCAAAACTTTTCTGGTCATATCTTAAAAGCTTTAAGGAAAGTCCAGAGATTTCGGATGAAATGGCGTTTGAGAATGAAATATTCTCGGGAACATTCAACATTGTTAACGGCTTTGCAAAATATTTCAAATCTGTGTTTATCAGTAATGATAATATTGCCGATCACACCAATGCAAATAATGCTAAAACATACTTTTGTGATGCAGAAATATCTGTTTTGGACATAAAAAAGGCTTTCAGAAAACTTAAACCAAACAAGTCTATTGGCCATGATGGTATTCCTGCATTTATACTGAAAGGGTGCAGTGAATTTTTACTTGTTCCTTTAAAAATCTTGTTTAATCTTATGCTTAAAACCGCCACATTCCCAGAAAAATGGAAACTTAATAAAGTGATACCTATACACAAAAGTGGTCCTAAACAAGATATTAAAAACTATAGACCCATAACAATAGTGTGTGCAATCTCAAAAATATTTGAAATTGTTATATTTGAATTGCTTTTCAATGAAGTATCACTTAAAATATCTCCCAATTAACATGGTTTCCTACCAAAAAGGTCCACATTTACAAATCTAACAATCTTTACGCAATATATACATGAAGCATTGAATAGGAAAACACAGGTAGATGTTATCTACACTGACTTAGAAAAAGCATTTGATAAAGTAAGTCACAATACTATTTTGGATGGTCTGGAGGCAATGGATGTTCCTCCATACCTGAATAATTTAATTCAATCTTACTTAGGAACAGACTCAAGTAAAAGGTATCAGTTTGTAGAATTAAAAGGTAGTCGGTCTACTCTTTTTGTTAGTTCTTCTGGTGTGCCCCAAGGGTCAAATCTTGGGCCCCTTCTTTTTGTTATTGCTTTCAATAAAATTCTTTGCAAAGTCAAAAATGTGGAATCATTGGCATTTGCCGACGATTTTAAATTATTTATTGAAATCACCTCGATTGAAGATTGCGAAATTCTTCAAAGAGAATTACAAGATTCAGCGAGTTATTGTCAGAAAAATAGCTTTAACTTAAATTTGAACAAATGCTCCTGTCTCAGTTTCAGTCGTAATAAAAACCCAATTGAATTTGACTATACAATAAATAATGAAAAACTAAAACGTGTTTCTGAACAAAAGGATTTGGGTGTAACTTTTGAAGATAATCTTTCATTTTCTTCTCATATTATTTCGAAGATTGAGAGTGCCCAGAGAGTTGCCGGGTTTATCTGTAGAAATACTAAACAGTTCAATATTGATGTCAGCATCCACCTATTTGATAGTCTGGTATTACCGATACTGGAGTATGGTAGTATAATTTGGTCCCCTCAGTATCACATTTGGATAAGTATTATCGAGGGAGTTCAAAGAAAATTTTTGAAGGCTATGCACTTTAGAAAGTACGGATTTTATCCACAAAGAGGTTGTGACAATGACTTCTTGCTAGGTTTATTTAATAGACTGACTCTAAATCAAAGAAGAACTAAAATATTTCTCGCAACAATGTACAGAATACTAAAAGGTTATGTTGATTCTCCAGAAATAGTTGGTCAACTTCCTTTTGCCATAAATCGTGTCAACTCAAGAACAAAAAATGTTTTTTATTTAGCTTACCCACGGAGGAATTTATATAAAAGCTCTCCAATATATAATTTGTGCAATATGTTCAATAAATATGCTTCAGATACTGATATTGATAGCACTACCTACAGACAGTTGAAACGAATAATTGACTTAAAATTACGCAATAGTTAGCATGTAAGTTTCGTGTGTACTGTTCGTGTTTAATGTTGGTTTTACTTGCATTTATGTCGTTTACATTTTCACGTTGGATGTTGTAATAGTTATTAATTTGATGACATTTTACAAAACTTTTTATTGACATTTTACATACTTTTAGAATAAGCATAGGTATCTGTAATTGGCTTTTTGGCTGTAGATACTGTTTGAAATAAATAAATAAATAAATAAATAAATAAATTATTTTCTTCTTTTTCTGGAAAATTTTTACAATTTTCTTGCCAGTTTCCCAGTTGTAAGAGGGTGAATTTTGCCTAAAAAAGTCAGACATAAAAATTTTAGGAGTGTTTTTTTTTTTTTGAACGACTTTTGGTTCGAAATTTCAGTTAGTTTGGGTTACTGAAAAAAAATTTTTGCCTCCGGCAGGTGGCTTGTGATGGGCCGGCAGAAATCTTGGCACACAGGCCCGGAGCTGGGTTGATACGCAGCTGGAAAGTTGATATGAAACTCACTCCCACGCTCTTTTGAATTTTGTTCTATCAGAAATTTGAGATAAATTCGAAAGCCTGGAATAATGAATAATTGAAAAAGAAAACTTAAGCCATAGGGGTGAGAGAAATCTTGAGAAAAAATCAGTAGGAAACTTGAGAGAAAATGAGTAGACAAGTGAGTAGATATAATTTTTCTATTTCAGGCTCTTGAATTGTATTCACTCTGAGAAATTTGAATGGAACTCAAGAGCCTGGAATAATGAAAAATTGAAAAAGAAGGGGGTTGTCAGAAACAGGGTGACACCAGTGGCATACACTACGAATGGAGATTTATACGAAAATATGCAAAATTATACATATAATCAGATGACAATTATTCAAAAACTGCACATGATAGGACATCATCTAATAATAATAATCATTAAATAAACCGAAAACAAACAAAAATAGAAACAAACACTGCTTGACATAGTGATTTACAAGTTAAAAATAAACAAACCATCTTTTGGGGGCGCTAATGCTATTTCCGCTAATAGATTTTCTTTGAAGATTACTTGTTTGTATATTTAATTTATATGGCAAGTACCCACTATACTATACTAGACAAAAATAGATATTTTGGTTTGCAAGAAAATTCAATTATTATATAGCTAATTAATTTTTTAAAGGCCAAATTTACAAACGGGTACATGACATCATAGGTATTGGTAGATTCAATGTAACAAATAAACGTTTTATTGTGATTGCGGTACCACACCTTTGCATAGTTTAAGTAGGTATTTGCATTATTATAAATTTGTTTTTCAACAAAAACAAAAATAGATTTGGTACTTGATAGCCTTTTTGTTTTATACAATTAAAGTATATTAAAGTGTTTTATAATGATTTTCAAGTAGAACTTTGTATGACTTAAACTTATATTCAAAATAACTTCCTGAAACGATTTTACACATTAAGTAGGTATTATAAAACCTCGAAGGCGTCAAAAAAGTCCTACACACTAAACACACATACCCACTTCACCGTAAAAATAGAACATTCTCTTCTTCATGGAGAGGTTTTGAAAATTTTCTTACATTTTCACTGCGCGACGTTAACGCTTACACTGTTTTGTTTGAACGAAAATAATTTATGCAATATAGACGGGTTCCTGAGATGAATGAACAAACAAAACGACTATAGATGAGAGGATTAGAATAATATATATGCTAATTTTTACTTTAAAGATTCTGGAATTCTGCAATACATTTTGCAGCAGTATTGGATTGATCTTGATGAGATGGAAATCATTTGATAATAAATGAAAAACCCAAAAATCCTCTCATATTATTATTCTATACCTACAACCAGAGAACCTGCTATAGGTAGGTATTTCTTTACTTTGGGTACCAGCCAAGGCCAAACAAACTTACATAATAAGTGCTGATTGTTAATATTTGAACAATAAAGTTAATCTACGCAAATAAAGAAAACCTACTTTATTGAACAAGAATGTTAAAAATTTGAAAATGTTTTTAAGGAAATCGAAGGTAAACTGCCCATTCAGTTATAATATGTCGCGAACCACAAGTGAACTTTGTAGGAATGTTTTGTTTAGACTGGAAAAGCGATTTTGATTGATTATTTCAAGTTATCGTAATACATATATATATACAGGGTGACACAGGGAAAATAGTCCAATCTGGAAATATTTGCGTTTCTTTCACTTTGCCCACCCCAATGGTTTTTTGAAAGTATGTAGGATTTTTAATGTATTAATACGTATGTATATAGGGTGTTTCATTTAAAATAACAATAAGCTCTATCGTATACCCGAAGTATATAAAAATAAAATGTTTAATGTATACCTTAGAGTAGGTCTCAAACAACTTTATTTTTCTTGCCCTCACCCTGTAAGGAAATATCAATCGATGTTGTACTAAGTTGACACCCTGTATATCTTAATTTGAGTAATTTTGTATTTGAAATTTGGTTGTTATGATTGGTCTTAATCAAGGGGCAAACCACCTAGGAATTTTTTGACAAAAATGTGGGAAATTTAGAGGAATTCGTGAGAAATTTAGAGGAATTTGTGAGGAATTTGAAGAAACTCATCCAAATTTATGAGAATTTGAGGAATTTATAGAGAATTTGGAGGAATTTATGGGGAATTTGGGAGAATTTGTGAGGAATTTATGAGGAATTTAAAGAAAATTTTCAAATTTAAAAAATTGAAAAGAATAATGAATACAGTTTTTGTAGGCTGATTTCCAAGATTTTTCATGTTGGTATTTTCCACTAAAAAAATTTGAAATTTTCGGAAAATAAGCTTCTTACCTTCTTCTTCACATGCAAAAAGTTTCCAAATTTTCCATTTACTAGTTTTTCAGGAAAACTTCGAAATATGTGAGACTGTATTTTCAACTAACTCAGTTTTTGTAAGTTGATTTCCATGATTTTTCATGTTGTTATTTTTCACTGGAAAAATTTGAAACTTTGGAAAAATGAACTTCTTACATTCCTCTCTACATGCAAAAAGTTTTAAAATTTCCTCTTCTCTAATTTTCCAGGAAAACTTTGAAATGTGTGAGATTGTATTTTTTAGCTTATTTATTTGTAGGTTGATTTCCAAGATTTTTCATGTTGCATTTTTTCTACTGGAAAAATTTGAAACTTTGGGAAAATGAGCTTCTCACCTTCCTTTTTACATGCAAAAAGTTTAAAAAATTTCCCTTCACTAGTTTCCAGGAAAATTTTGAAATGTGTGAGACTGTATTCTCAATTAACTCAGTTTTTCTAGGTTGATTTCCAAGATTTTTCATGTTGCTGTATTCTACTGGAAAAATTTGAAATTCTGGGAAAATGAGCTTCTCACCTTCCTCTTTACATACAAAAAATTTCAAAATTTTCCCTTTTTTAAGAGGAATTTGTGGGGTATTTGGAGAAGTTCGTGGTGTAGTATTTGCAGGAATTTGTGATGGGATATCTGGAAGAATTTTGAGGAATTATGCGTGAGAAATTCCCCTTTGAGGAATTATTTGACCGAATTCTGCGATGGTGGTTTACCCCTTGGTCCTAATACAATATAGCTGCCTTGGTAGTCAATTTAGGTTTTTGACTGTTTTTGGATGGAAACAGAAATTCAAGAGCCTGGAATAAATGAAAATTGAAACTGAATCCAGTAACTATATTTTGTCCCAGGAACGTCCTATTTAGGGAATGTTCCTGCTAAGCGGTACGTCCGCAAAAAATTTAAAGTTAATATTTAGAACCATAAATAATTCATTCTAAGTTCAAATCTTGTTTATTGGAACTTACACCTAAATCTCTCCATTTAAAATGCATTGCGGTCAAAATTTCAATTGATTGATAAGAGAAGGTTCTACGTTCTACGTCATTTTCAGCAATATTTTTAGAAAACTTCAATTGTAGTTTAGAATAGTCATTTGTATTTGAGAAATTTATACCAATTTATATGGGTATTCCTTAAATACAAATGACTATTCTGAAATACAATTGAAATTTCCTAAAATCTAAGATTTTGGTTTGGAATGTTACCTACATGTGTGGGACTTTATAGTTGCCCCTAAAACGAATGTTTTACCATATGTCTTTTCTTGTATTGTTTGCCGACGACCTCAAAATGAGCTGCATAATAAGAATTCCTGAAGACTGTGACAAACTACAATACGATCTTAACAGTCTTCAAGATTGGTGTATTGGAAACTTCATGGATCTTCTAAATGTAAAGCCATTACATTTTCACGCCTTAAAAATCCTATTAAATTTTATTATAAAATTGGTCAACACATCCTTGAGGAAGTTTCCATTATCAGAGACCTTGGTGTTTCTTTGGACACAGATCTTTTCTTCATTAATCATTTAAACAATGCAGTAAATAAAGCTTTTCAAATGTCTGGGTTTTATCAGAAGGACTACACAAGATTTCACCAATGTTACCACCTTAAAGACTTTATATTGTGCCCTAGTACACCCTCATCTAGAATATGCCTCTTGCGTCTGGTCCCCCTTTTATGTTGTACATCGAGATTCTGTACAGCTCGTTGAACACAAATTTTTGAAACAAATTGCCTTTAAACTGAATATTTTGAATAATTATAATGATTCACAACTACTTTCTATGTTGGAGGAGAGGAGAGATCTTACAACCTTCTATAATATCCTACATGGGAAGGCTTCGACTCCCGAAATTCTCCACAAAATTAGCATTCATGTCTCTCCTAGAACCACCAGGTTGAATGACAGTTTTCATATTCCGATTCATCGAACTAATTACGGACGCAATACTTTTATTTCCCGAACAGCTAGACTTGCCAATGAGCACCATGAGATTGACCTTTTTGCCCCCTTGAGCATTTTCCTGAGTCAAGTTCGTCATACTTTTAGGTAGTTGTTAGCAAACTTTTATTAAACTTTCATCATAAACTGCTAATCCCACCTCTTATAACTTAACTACTCATTATTATTTGATTTTTACCTAAATCTACTAGTCTAATCTACCTATCTAGCCTTACTCATTTCTCATCAAGTTGCAGGGCTGTTTGTTGTTGTTATTATTATTATTATTATATAATTTTAAGAGTGATTAACTTTATTTTTGTTACATTTGTTATGTAATTCTATATTGTTGAAATGAATGTTTAACATTTTGTAAGTGGGCTCGGCCCGTTGATAAATAAATAAATAAATAAAACAACCCTTTTTTTGGAATATTCCAAGAACGTCCCTGGAACGTCTTATGAACGTTCGAAGAAGGTCTTTCATTGACTAGAAGATGTGTATGGTCAGGGAACATTCCAAAATTCTCTGAAAATGATCTTGGAACGTTACACTTGTACACAAATTCCTTACAGAGAACGTTTCACAAACGTTTTGGAACTTTACAGGATGTTCAAACAACGACTACTGGTCGATTGATCGATTATACCTACATGGAAAAACCACATTGAATAATTTGTTAATATAAATGATATAGAAAATCCAGTACAAGAAGAATTTTTGTTAGAACAAGATGTAGATCTTATATACACTTTATTTTTTCCCAAGATAGATTTTGACATTGAAACATAAACAACGCTTGACCCTGATTGGTCGCAAAATGAGGCGTTTCTGCATGTTGACATCAGTTTTACAATAGCGACCGATAGGCGGCATTAGCGGCATTGTTTATGTTTCAAAGTTGACAATGCCAAAATCTATCTTGGAAAAAATAAACCATAGAACCAATAACAACAGAGGAATTAGAAGTTGTCCTAAAGAGAGTTAGCCCCAGAAATGGATGATGTGACCAATAAGATGTTGCAAAATTTACCAGATGAGCCCAAACAGAAATTAATGGTCATATTTAACAAACCATCTCAATGACCTAAGCGAATAATGGATAAGCCAAGTTATTTGTCCTATATTTATTAAAACATGGCAAAAATTCATCTGATCTCAATATGCATATGTGCATATTATGCACAATCTTCATAAAATATGCACAAATTTCAGTTTTCACAATCCAGCCAAAACCTGGCCTGTGTAGAACAAATCTGAAGCCTCCCAACTCGCAAAATCACCAATTGTGACGTAGGTCATATGTCGTTTGTCGCCTTGACGTAAGGTTTGTACTACAGGTTATGTGCCTCTAAGGGCCGGTTTATCAATTAGGCGGCGTTCCGTATCTTAACACCGATTGGTATGAAACGGTTCGTTTATGGTGACAGTCTGGTTCCTGAATATGCGGTTTATGTGTGGAACCGCGTTTCATAACCTAACTAGATTTCAGGAGTGGTTAGGTTACGGAACGTTTACTGGAAAAACCAAGAATCTTGGTTAACTTACGGAACGTCCCCTTAGACCAGTGGTTCCCAAATTTTTTTCTTTTGCGCCCCCTTTCTGAAATCAAGAAGTGGTCGCGCCCCCCTTTCTTTCCCCATTATACAAAAACATTCTTTTTACTCACTGTAAAGCCTAGTACTCATAACTGCGAAATTCGCATTTTTTTGACTTTGCTTCGACAATTTGACGTTTAATACACGCATTAAACGTCAAATTATCAAAGCAATGTCAAAAAAGTGCGAATTTCGCAGTTATGAGTACTAGGCTTAACTTCTGAGCTGGACTTTGGAAGAGGAGAAATGGGCATGACAGTGGGCAGCGAGCGTACGCTGTAGCAATGATCGCATCAGTGCTGCCACTTCTGACGGAATAAAGTCGGTAGGGTAGATTCTTGGAGACATAATAGGTAGTTTTCGTTTAAAAATCGGTAGCTAGGCGGTTGCGTCATATGACGTCATTCCGCCACAATTT